TTTTATCCTCCCATACGAATCTGTACCAATTTACCGTCCCCGGAGGGTAGAAGTCTTGGTGGGCCTGGGCGGGAGTCGACCTGGCACTGGCAGATATAGGGATACCATTTGTTTACTGTTTATATTTCCGTTAGACAAGAGAAATCATTCCAGGAATTCTCCAGTCCAAGTCCAGCTTTCCATCTGTGATGTCTCTTTACAACGAATTATCAGCAATAATCACTCGATATCTGGACAAGAATGCATACAGCAAAGTCGATCTCGCTTTTATCTTTGCACCAATGTTGAAAATAGAGTAGTTTCCTTTTGTCTTTTTTGTATTACTTCCTTTCAGTCTTCTTGGCGCAGTTCGGTTTGGTGGGGGCATCGAGTTGTAGAGAGTTTGCTTGTACAGACCACGGCTCAGTTGTTCCACTTGCAGCTTCACAAGAGTTTACAGGTTTCACCAGTGGAGACCTGTTATTAGGGCATAAACTAAAAAGAGGAGCCAGCGAAAGTGCAAAATACCCCCTCCAAGCCGGACAGCACCTATCCTTCTTTAATAGCAAAATGTAATTAATAATCTGGACGATTTTATAAAGCGTTAATCACATGAAGTTATAACCTTTATATCCTGTACTTATATCTATTGACTTGTGATTTCTTTTATTGAAGATTTTGTAGGGTTGTCTGTTTATGATTGTAGCCCAGTTCACCTTACTCTTTTTCTCACTTTAGGATATCTGGTATCATTCTGATAATGCTAAGTGCTTCCAACGTAAAGCGGGTTTACAAATTTGTTAGCATGGGCACATTGGCCGCAACGTTGTAATATTACTGATTAAATGACTAATTGTATTTTTCCATTTCAAAACTCACTACGGTCTAGCTCGCTCTTAGTTTCACTTTGAAACTTTTTTCTAAGTGTCTATAAAATTTTATCGTTATAAGTCCAAGAATGAGTTCTGAATAATTCATGTTTACACGTGAATATTGCATAGATTGCGCTTATTCATTACTATAGTTGCCCTTGTGTTATTGCGCATCAATCTGACCTTGCGGACTTTTTCAACGGGACGTGTCCTTCGGCGCAGTCGTTTTCCCACCGACGCGTCAAAATATGTCAGGCAAACCGTCTTCCATTAGAGGCAACTCGTCCGGATCTTCAAATTAGTGCTTGCCGCGAGTGAGCATTGGGGCATGACCCTGTTGAGAACAATGAGCACCGATGCCCATGCTGCTCACAGCCCAGTCTAACGTATTCATCACGAAAATGGTGTAGTTATGGCCTCCCCTCCCCCCTTGCGAGAATGGACGTCAGTACGACCCCCCTCCCCCTTTAAATGGGGGTCTCGGTACGACCCCCCTTCGCCGACACCTGCCTACCAATTTCCCACATTTTTCCACTCTTTCACCGAAAGAAGGGGGGGGGGGGGTGGCATATCGTACACATGAAACAGGAAACAAAATCATCACGCGAGAAGTCACAACAACCAGGAAAGATTCTTTCGCAGAGCAACTTGCTCTTGAAGGCACATACACCCCCCCCCCCCTCCCCAAGTGAAAGAGTGCGACCCTCTATGTGTTTCACGCTACGATGCTGTACCCTGGTTATAAACTCTGGACGAGTTATTCAAGTTGTTAGGAGCGTACCAACACCTGTCATGAACCGCCAAGGGACCATAGTCGATCAGAGTCCATAAGTCAAAAAGGGGAGTTCGCGCCACCCCTTTTTAGACCTATGGACTTTGAGAAGTGGGTTGCCAAGTGACAGCGCCGGAGCCTGGACGCAAAAGTTTCGTCCGAGGTTTTTCGTCTCAAGGCTGTTTCCTCTCATTTTGTTCATGACAAATGGCTCAGCTATGTTTCCACTTCAGTTTAGTGACTGATGGAATTTGATGGAAGTCGCGCCATTTCAAAAGCAGGTGGTATGCGATCAGGGATTCTTTCCATGTTTTCTGGATAATTTTTCGGCTGCTGGTTTTAAGATAATCGACGATTTGCCATCTAGTTTGCGAGATCTTCAGTCTCTCAACTTCAAGTATGACAGTCTCTCAACTTCAGTAGAGATGGAGTAGCCTGCGCTCAAGTAGTTCATTGTAAATACATTAGAGGCAAGACTAATAGGCCGCTTTTTGCCACTGGAGAATGCTTTTGGAAAATACGACACCACTAATTTCCTCCTTTGACACCCCCTCTCCCTTTCCCTCCCACCTGCCATCCTCCTTACTTTTCCTGCTTTCCAGAAAATTTCCAGTTCATCCCTGAAAAACTGCTGTCGAGGGAGAGGGGGGGGAAGAGATCGCCACCAAGCACTACCATTTTTGAATATCGAGATTAGTAGTTCCACAGAATAGAGCTTTAGCGGCGCCACCAATTAGCAGGGGGTAAGAAATACGACCGCCTCCCCCTCCCACATTACAACTCTCTCAAGGATACAGATAGCGCGCGTGGAACAAGAAAAAAATCAACCACCGAGAGAGTTTCTTGGACCAAATACAACCCCTCCCCTGTTTCTCCGCTGGGGATTCCCCCAACCTACGGCATGCCCTGAATACTATTCATGTGAAGTGCTATGGAGCATTACTGATGAAATTCTTTTCTGCAGGAGCCCGGTTTCTCTCGATTTCTCCGTGTTTCCCCGGTATAAACTATGGATGACGATAGCGAGGACTTCGACTTTGACGTGACAGCCGAAAGCAACAAAAAGGTAACGTCTTGTTCGCTGGTGCCGGGGCTGTGAGGGAATGGGTTTGGAGCGGCACCTGTCCGTTGTCTTCGAATTGTTGTCCCTTGCCCGCGTCAAGATGTGGTGGGAAACTGGCTGGTTTGTACAAGTTGCTTGAGTAAAATTCTAGGAGTTAATTCCTAGCGTTTCAGTACACCTTATTCTGGATTGACGGAGGCGCTAACATGTTTGAAGGCGGAGCGGACTGTGATTTCAGAAGGGCTATAAAGGTAAGGATTCGGAACATAAGCCAAAGTTTTGATTGGTTTTGTCATGTTATTACAGCTTTACGTCCCTCGGGGCAGATAACCAGTTAGCGTACAATTCGATCTTTCGCACGTATCCATCTCCAATATTCCAAAGAGGTGTCTTATAAAGGACTACAAGGTTGCTCTCATAATAGAACCCTCTCCTCTCAGGTTGATGCTGCAGCCAGGGCACGTCGTACATTGCGGATCGTCAGCGAAGGGGGTTGTATTCGTCCTTGCAGAGTGAGAGGTCGTTTTTGACTCCGGAAAGAAATGTTTTCGATTCTTCATTTTTCTCGTTTTTCCCTGTTTCAAGTATGCTATACGAAAGAGAGGGGGGGGTCTAAGTAGAGGAGGTGATTTCAAAGGAATTTCATATATTTTGCCGAAATTCCTCTCCCACTCAATCCTAGGCAAACAGCAGGACGTGCCCTGGCAGCAGTACCACTTGTGGTAGCGGTTTTTCTCCCGTCACATCTCCTATCAGTCCTGCCGAACATTCATCAGGTGGTGATGTAGCACAGGTATGCGGTCCAGTACGTTACTTCCCAAGGGGTAGGTGACGTGTCATTAACGTCACATAACACGGTAAGATGCGCCTTGAAACGTCACTGGTTTTTCAGAGAATACAGGTTTCCTCATGACTAACATGCTGCGTGACGCGCCATGTCCTCACCCTTGATAAAAAGCGAATCTGCGCTACACATGCACCTAATTGGGGGACAGACAGACAAAAATACAGAGCGACAGACACGCTGACAGAACAAGAAAATGACACATCGGTTTAGCAATTTATATAGAAAATCAATACTCGTATTAGAACGAATTCTTATCTACACATCTCAACACATATCACATAGTTAAAAGAAGTTGCACAGACACCTAGCGATCAAATAAAATATTATGAATTTACTATTTTTTTTGATTGTTATAAAACGCTTTTTGACATAAACAACAACGAAAAAACATAATGTGTAGCGAAGAATTAAAACCAAAAAATCGAAGTGAAAGAATCAGGATGAGATACAGCGTTGACAAAAAGAGTAGTGGAGCAGCAGAGTGAAGGAACTAAGCGGAAGACGTAGTTGATGCTGATACAGCCAGGTACGCATTCCCGTACGTTATTTGTTACTGCATTCATACTTTGCGACTCGGCAAAAACGAATGGTTGGTAATTGATCGATTCATGTCGCTATCGACTTGGAGAATCGGCAATCGCAGTGGATTGAATCCCGTCTATTTACTTCTTCGACGGCATTCTCCAGAGATGACAAACCACTAATTCTCCTATTCCACCGAGTACCGAGTCGCAAAGTATGAGCGTGGCCTTAGGAGTTGGATTTCAATGGACTGTGACGTGTCATTGACGTCATAAAGCGCGTTAATGACATGTCTTGAGACATCACTGACAATGGCACAATAAGAGCACATCTAGTCGCTGGGAAAAACTTTTGCAATATACGCTCGCCCCCTCCCCTCCCAAATTTCCTCATCTGCTACGGTCTCCGTTCTTCTATCATACCTCCACCTTCCCACCTAGTTTCCTAAAAATTTCCTGTTCCCTCCTAGAAAAGTTACCGTCGATCGGAGGGGAAAGGTCGCCACGTTTGGCTACGCGGCCAACTATGGAGGAAGGGTACAAGACAATCGTAATTCGCCGTACTACTATAGATAATCGTATTCCGTGCTAGTGAGCGTCGCGTGCGAGCGCCCGCGAAGATGTTTCTAGATCTTAGATTGCGACAATAGGAAATCTATACCCAGAAATAGTCATAAATGTCTACGCCGTTCCAGTTTACATAAAATCGGTGCTTCAATCGGAAGGCCACTGAAATTTACGAAAACTTCGCGCATGACCGTGCGGCAGATTACGATTGTCTTGACCGTCTTCCTGGGAGGAGAGCGGTGGTATGAAGCACATGTGAAATGACCCCCCCCCCACAGTGGGAGTCTCTCAACCCCTCCTTTCCCGCCCGCCCACAGTGTGAGTCTCTCAACGATGTGGACAGCGCACGTTAAACAGGAAACATCAACGGCCAAAAACTTTTCTCAGGTCCCTTTCTGTGACCCCTCCCTCCAGCGACCGAATGCGACCCCCTCTGAGGATTCTCCAGCGTACAACGTGCCCTGGATACAACACAGATTCGGTAGTTGATAGTGAGATGGATGACACTATACAAAACATATAGTGGGCTTGTGCTACACCTGCGCTACACAATTTTATATACAATTTTCGTTGCACATCAATTGCACATTTTTCAGACGACGTAGAAATTTAAAAGGAAACAAAATATATAGAAAAATGTATAAAAAGGAGATCAAGCTATAGCTAGCTAGCCAGCCTGTCTAGCGTAGCCATTCATGAAACGAAAGGTTCACCCGCTGCCGCCGTTGTCATGTTCACCATCACTTGTAGGACGTAATTCGCACAGTCCTGCTTCGACACCGTTGTTATGCTGTCTTCAATGACCGTGGAGGGCGTTGGCCTGACCATCGGGTCGCTGAGCATCTTCCTCGCTGTTGTCTTCACCTTTGAGAAGACGTTCATAGCCGGATTGAGCATGTAGGAATAAGGCGGCAGGTACTTCAAATGATACGGTGATTCATAGAGGATTCGTTGCAGATCGTCATAATCTTGCATTTTTTCGTCATCCATGAGTAGCCAAGCGCCATCGAAATTTTCTCTGTCACGTAGGCATGCCACAAGTTCTTCGACGAACAAGCAGAAGTTCAAACTGTTGCAGGCCTCATCACTGACGATTTTTCTATGAATAACGCCGTGATTATTCATTGCCAGAATTAGCGTCATCATGCGGCCTCTAGCTGACGTTGACGTTAGGTCGTTGGAAACTGCCTTTGAGTTCGACTGCGTTCTTGGCTGATGAAAGAAGAACTCCTTCTCATCGACGAAGATACATTTCTCCTTGTTCTGCGGTGCATGTCCTGAGAAGTAGAGAGCGTAAGCTTGCCGACTTGCAATCGTCGCAGCGCTGTTGATACGTTCGAACCCGTAGTGGCACTTCTTGAGTGTTACTTTCAACTTAAGGAGGGCGTTGAAGATGGTAGACACGGACAACACGATGTCCCTCTCCTTCAGCCGCCGCTGTAATCGCTGCAAAGGTTCTCTTGGATATTGTTCAACAATTTCTTCAATACATTGCAGAACATCAGGATTTAGCTTGGACCTACGGTCACCTCCACAACGACGATGGACGATAGCACCTTCCCGTTTGTAGTTACGGAGAATTCCTCTTGCTGTACTCGCGTTGACATCAACGATTTCAGCAGCTTTAGTGATAGGAGTTCCGCACTCTTCTACAAGCTCGACCAGCACTTGCTTCTGTGTTAGAGTCGTTCGCTTCAATTGTCGCGGCGGTTCCACAGAAATGTCATCTTGCAGTTCCACAGAAACGACATCTTGCGGCGGTTCCACAGAAATATCATCTTGCAGTTCTACAGAAACGACATCTGGTTGAGAAATGACGTATTGTTGGCTGCTCAAAGGTTTTTCTGCAGTCGACTGAATCATAGGGAGGCGATGAAGTTGGCAATTGGCAGCGATTGAGTGAGCCGATGAATGAGTTTCGCCAAAAGCGCGCGGTCGCGTCGCGGCCTCTGTCACTGGGGCGTACTGCAAACGGTGCAGTGCATAATTGCAAACACTGGGATGTACACAGTGTGTTCAAGTTGGTTTATAAATCGTCCAGATAACTTAAAAACGTCCAGATTGGTCAAAAAATTCAGCTTAGAATGAAGTTGGCATGAGTGTAGTACAAAGATGTGAAATGGGTGAATATTAAGTTTTAGAAAGTAGCTGTGCTTTGTATTTGAGCTCAGTTCCAAGGTTGTTCTTTTTTTTCTTTTTCATTTCTTGTGAAAGATCAACAACAGTCACTACTTCCTTTCCGTAGTCGATTTCAATATGTTTACAGGCTGTGTTCACACAGCTATTGAAAATCGGATGCTCTGGTTCCCGATCTCATCGATGTGGTCTGTTCATAGCCAATACGGTAGGTCTTTTATTAGAAGTTTTGGCGCTGTTTTCAATAAGGTGGGCATTTTGCTAACAGCTTCTGAGCTGATCTTCGAAACCGCGACAGACGTTCCTTTATTATTGGGAGAAGGGTGGAGGTGGAAAGCAGGGCACATGCTACCGTTGGAAAAGGTTTTCACAAAGTACGGATCACTCCAAATCTTCTCTTTCTGGTGCAATACCCCTTCACCTTCTCTCTTCTCCAGCCATCATTCCATCATTCCATCTCTTGAACTTTCCCATTTTCCTATTTTTTTTCTCCAGAGTTTTTTTATGCAGAAGTACCTCCAGTTTTTTCCCGAAAGCAGCTGTCGAGGGGAAGGGGGAGGAGGAGATATAGCGCGCTCGGAACAGAAAATAGCAAAGGAATTCAACAACCGAAACATTTTTCGCAAAGACGAAAAGACCCTTCCTCTCCAGGGACCCCCCCCCCTGACGTTTTACCTTCCGTTGCTGGTGAATTCTCACCATTTCAGTTTGGGAGTTAAGAACACTGATTCCTACATGGGCTGCCCTTCCCCCATCTCTCACAAGCCATAAGGCCATGTTGCGCTCACTAAGACGCCCCAGCTCTGAATGGAAATAGCCGCCGCAGACCGTGCCGTATCTCAAGAAGGATCTGACCAACGGTAGAAGCCTGATTCTTATCGTTTTTATCAGGAAAAGGGTGCGAAGAAGTGCCTGTGAAATACGGGGGTAAGGATATTACCCTAACCGCGGGAAGGGGCTTCGCAGTGGATAAACCGAAAATTTTGCACGGTCATGTTGCAAAGAAGAGAGTAC